AGTCTCCATACGACCCCCCCCACTTATTATGTACTGTACACTGCTAAGGAAAAAGCTAACACTAGGGGAAATAAGTGCAATCTACAAAAAATCTAAAGACACTTGGCTTGAATTCAAACACAGTTAGCAGACGCTCTAGTTTCCTGATATCCGGTAATTTACTAATGCATAACATCGCAAAACGAACTGCCTTCATTAGTTGCTAAACAGTACTGCCCTTTAGTTCGAATGGCGCTTTGCCTGCCTTTCATGAATGGGCGTTCAGAATCACAAAAAATTCCATTTCGATATGCAAGCGCATATCAAACGAGTGCATGGCGCATCTCAGAGCATGAGAGTATACAGCAGAAGTGTCCGATTGGAGCACGGGAGCGTTGCGTTCGCATTGGCGCGCGCAATCTTCCCCTCGGCGCAGCGCGGGCAGCGAGAAACAGACTATTGACTTTCAAATAAGCGTAATTTTGTTCAATATCAATATTTCTTCAAATTGCTAAGTAGATTTGTAATCTACAAAACTGCTTGTTTCAGAAGGTAACCACGATTATGCCTTATCTTCAAAACTACGTCAGTTATGGGGTAGAGAAACAAAGAATTCACAGAAATGCGCACTTCTTCATTTGAAAGGTTGTAACTTTCTTCAAAGAAGGAATTATGAGGAGCGGTAAGAAAATTTGGAAAGCTCAGACTGTTTTCTTTCTAAAAAGTGCTCAAGCTTTGCAAAAACTTTCCTTCAAAAATCGCCCCGTTGGACCGTTTTTTTGCAAGACCAGGTTTTTTGGCTTTCAATGGCTATAACTTTCTTCAAATTCCACCTTTGCATTCTTGTCCCCCTGGGTTGAAGAGAAGGTTAGAGCTTTCCAACGAATACTTGAACTCTTTCCAAAGTTGAAGGAGTCAAAAATCGCCCCGTTGGACCGTTTTTTTTTCATGAATTTTCGGAGCTACTCTCCTGAAAACACGGGTTTTCAACACTTAAACACTGACAACTCTCTTCAAACTCAATTTTATCGGGAATAATGATACCGTGACATCGCACGAGCTTTGTGCTTCATTACAGATGCTAAACCCATTTCAAGAAGTTGCCGACAGGCAAATATTTTTGTTCCCAAACTTTTCTTGTAGCCCTTTAGCAGTCAATCTACCAAAGAGGTCACTCTTTTATTAACTTAGGTCCAGTTTGAAGGCATTGGTTCACCTCTAGAATTATATTTGTGTACGTGAGCAGTCAAATATGGATACTTTCGCAGTAGACTCTTCTGCTCTGATGTGCGCCATGCACTCGTTTGTGCTTAATAGTTGAAGAAGCACTCAAAAGTTTTACCTCTCACCTACTGTCGCGAGAACTAACGTCTTGATTCTAATCGTTCGATGGTCCCAGCAAGAGCCAACAGCTGCGAGCTTCATCACAACACACATTAGGTTCCTTATAGCGAAAACCACCTCTCGTCATCTACACCCAAAAACCTCTTCGTACTGCAACGTTGACTCCTGCGAATACGACCCCCCCCTCTAGCGTCGGCCAAATACGACCCCCCCCCCGTTGGACTTTGTCCAACGGACGGTTGACCCTGCTGCCAACATCTCGTAGAGTGGCTATTTGTGTACAAAAATGTGTCTCATATGGAAAAAGGTGTAATAGCGATCGTAACATCTACATTTTACATTTAGTCACTGCTTGGTGCTTTCGTTTTTCCCGTGTAGCGGCAAGTTGACGTTTTTAGCACGCGCGCGGCTCCGCGGAGTGTATGTGTCGGAAGTCCTTAGTGTCCTGGGTCGTGAGTCGCCCGGGCCAACCAAGCCTTCCATCCCTCCGGGGTCGGTTAATTGGTACCAGACTTGTCTGGGAGGATAAAAACACTGACTTGTACATCGGCTGGCCCCCGCAAGTCATTGTATAGGCCACATCGCATTCAAACGCCACTACGAATGTACAAATGGAAGTAGAATGCGTGCCGCATCCCAAAACGGGATTGATCAACGGCAAATGCTTTATCCTTTTTTTATTTAACATGAAGCATTAGAACTGAACCTCAACGCTAATTTGGGCCTTGGGTTCGTCGGCGATTAATTTGCGCTAAGTAAAGCCGGGTTTTCTTCACTGTTTCCCCTGAAAATCGCCTTCTCTACTCCGACGTGAGTATCCTTTGTTCTATCACTCCTTTCCTCTACCTTACGGGAAAGACGATTTCGGAAGCTATCCACTCAGTACAAAGAATGGAAGAGCATTACCGCAAGGAAAGAATACAGCCACATGTGCACTCACGCTGCAGAGGCACCTCCTCTGTCCACGCTCGCTACCTTCTCCCTTGATGACACTGTTGTTAGGGACGCTGTCGCAAAAACGACAACCGTGAAGGAAAGGCCCTGGGCAAATGAAGTTGTTCCTCAGGTTGTAGGAGTTACGAAATGTGTTTACTACAATGCAGCTTCTGTCAACTGGTCATGATCATATAACACCTTTCAATCGATTCTGCAACTTCGAGTGAGGTCGGATGCATGGCCTATACCCAGACAAAATCGGATGATGACGATTGCCCCTTTTCTTATTGCTTATGTTGGAAGAATGTATTCTAGACACATTTCGAGCGTTGCCAACGAATTACACTTGCAATGGTGAAGAACGGCTTTTTGAGCGGCCGAGAATCATCCTCGATAGATCCTCGACGCAAATATCTCCTCAACTAGGAATGTAGAAGGAAGCTAAACATACTGTCAGAAAGCGCAAACCTTCCGCTTTCCAAAACTGTCTTCCTTTTTCAGGATCTTGCGAAATTAGAGAGATATTGCCTTTTGAAGTGGCAAAAACTCGCATGAAAAATTTCAGCATCCTCGACGCTGCCCTCGACGAAATTTGAGAAACCCTATCTTCCCGATAGTAGCAAATCTAGCTCTATCTAACCCTACCGCGTGCTGTTCAAAGGTTGGGAAATGGGAGGAATGGAACCTTTTCATCGAGGGTAGATTTCGACGGTTTTTTTTTTGGGATTTCAGCAAATCTGACCCAGGGACAAATCGCGCCGCAGCTGAATCGGCCGTTGATCGATACACTCGGCTGTTGTGATTTTGCGTATGCTCTGTTTTAGGGGGTCGTGCCAAGACCTCGATTTCAGGGGGGTCGTACTTCTGCGACCACGTCCTCGACACGATTGTCACCCTGCTCCCGACACATACTTTTCTCATTCATCAGCGTACGTTGCGAGCCATGTTTTGAACAAGAAAAGAAACTGAGTGAAATTGAGGGCAGCAGCACTTCAACCACCTACCTACGTACAATATTTCACCGGTGAGTACTTTCCGTGGCCGAGTACGCGATTCTTGCATGTTTGGTCGTTCGTTTGTAGAAAATTGTAGAAGTTGGTAGTCCTGAAAAAATCAGCGGTGAAAGCAGGGAAAAAGGTCCAGCACTCTGCAACGCAGCATCCACCACCAACCTTTGCTTCTTCAACAAGATTTCCGGCAGGCAGCATCCGCCTTCACCAGAGTGTCCTTACTGACTGTACTGACCAGAAACTGAGGGTGACAGAAGGGAAGCCGTACATGCCTAAGCAACTGCAAAACCCGAGTGTCACACAACGCCGGACATTGACAGGAAATACAGCCATCACCTGTGGGAATAATTGTTGCCGAGCCGGTAGATCAAACCTAACCCACTCAACGAACTGCCTTATAAACCTAAAAAACTGGTTTATGGAGAGTAATGCAAAGAAAGGAGCCCCAGCAGAGATGCAAGCTCGATTCCGCTTTCAAAAATTCAGTATATACCTGGTCTTCTGATGTCACCTGAAGTTCTTCACTTGAAATCAGTTCTTCTAGTTGGTTAAATGGAAGCTGGTGAAACTCGTCAGTACCAATAACGCCCTAAGGGGATGGCAGACGTTATTTTTTTCAAATCTGACTATAGCAGATCAAAAAAGGATAACCTTGAAGTTACGCAGGATATACTTGTTGGCGCAGGATAAAAGCTCTTTACATGCATGTGCATCCGCAAAAGCTCGCAGTCCCAAGCAATTCGAGATGTTCATTTCTTTCGTCAGGAATTCGCTACACTCTTTCTACAAGAAAGAATCTGAATCATTTACAAGTGCTGTTCGAAGTAGGAAGACATTTCGAGCGTTCGCAATCCCAACCTGAACTTCATTCAGCTGAAGCAAGCAGGCGGTGGCCAAAACAGTCCATACATTGGTGCTGTTGATCTTTATTTTACCGGAGTAGCAAAAATCTATGAGAGCTTCAAGTGCTGAAGGCTTTGACATCCTTTATCTCTATTTCTCCTGCAAAAAAAAGAGTTGATCAAAATACTCTAAAATGCTCATGAAATTGCAACGAGGGTGAAAACCCATTGGAATATATCTGAACTTTCAGAGGCTCACTCAGGCGGCTTTCAGCCATGTCGTTTGTGAACATGGCTTCAAAATAACTTGTACATGCAGC